AAGGGCTCCTGCCTTTGGGGGAGCCAGAACGAAGTGCTGACTCACGGACAGGCAGTGCGGCTTTGCCCACCTGGAAGTGCTAATGCCGGCTTCTCCCCTAACCTGTATGTGACCCAGTTCTTCCATGACACTGACAGGCTTCCTAGAGAACCAAGGGGAGGTGACAGGCACCACATTAAGCTCCTGAAAGAGATCAAATGCTGTTCTTCTGGAGTTTCCAGTCCAAAAGGAGGCCTGGAAACTGGATGACCACCATAACACCAACAGCTCAGGTTTCAACGGCACTTGACCTTTTTCAGGGCATTTTATAATACAAACCCAAGCCAGAAACCTTGGTTAATCTGTATTCCCTGCCTTCACCCCTGCCTTCACACACCTTCTGTACTGGCCTAACAGGTCTTTGTTGGTTGAATCAGTTTGTGGGAGTTAATGAGATCCTCAGAGTGACTTGGGAGGTAGTCAGGGTTACAAATTCAAGCTCACAGACTGTAAGAAGGGCAAGGAACTGACATTTGTGAGGGGTATGGGTGCCAGATTTAGGAAATAAAAGACAGATTCCCAGCTAAATTTGAATTTCAGATAAACAGCAAAGAATTTTTTTAGTATAAGTATGTCCTGTGAATTTGGGATATACTTATATTAATTATGGCCAGTGAATATACTTATACTAAAAAATTCTTTGTTGTTTATCTGAAATTCAACTTTAACTGGGTGTCCTGTGTTTTATTGGCTAACCCTAACTGGAGGCCTACATCTCTATATTCTCTCATTCGATCCTCATACAGCCCTGGGAGGGATCAATTATTAAGCTATATTGACCTCAGTGTACAGATGAGAAAAAGGATACTTTGGGAGGTAACCTCGTTTGCTTAATGTACGACAGTTCAGAAAAAGTCAGTGGGGACTGGAACTTTGAGCCCCTGATCTCCCAGTTGAGGGCTGCTTTACCCACTCTATTCTTTAAGGGGCTGGAGGTTGCAGGGCTAGGAGAGGCTGTGGCTAGCCCCAAGCTGTGGAGGATCTCCCATCATTATGGTCAGAGAAGGTGGATCCTAGAGGGGAGACTCAGCTCTTGGAACCAAGCCCAGGCATATGGACCAAATCCACCCAGGTTCCTGTGGGCAACACTACACAGGCAGGCAGGGACTGCCCAGTGGCACCTGTCACCACAGTTCATAAGTAATATGTTTGCACCCAAGTGGTTTAGGGTCATGTGTAGAATGCCTGCATGCTACATGAATAATAACAACCCGATAATAACAATACAGTGAAAACAAAAACAATAGCTAATATGTGCCAGGCATTGTGATAACTCTTTATATCCATTGCTTCTTTAAATCTCCATCACCACCAAAAAACCCGATAATTTTATTACTATTACCAGTAGCCACCATTTGTTGAGTGTTACCACGTGCCTAGCCTATATAGGTACTTTATGTTATTAGCTCATTTAACATAAACAACAACAAAAACCCTATCTGCTGAGTATCATTATCTACATTTCAGATGAGAATCAGAAAAGTTAAGAAGCAGACCCAAGATCACATAGCTGCCAGAACTCAAACCCAGATCTGCCTTATTCCAAAGCCTATGTGCTTTCCACTGCTCCAAAAAGCTCCTCTTACCCAGGGAGGCAGAACACTACGATGCCAGTTCCAGCCAGCAATCCCACACCCCTCCACCCAGACAAAGGAACCTGTGTCAAAACACAGCCTCACTTCCCCTTGGGGCCAATCCATCCTGGAATAAAAGCTTCAGAACAAAGTCTGGGCTCCATAATGCCTCTGGCTGATACCTTATCACTGGGAGTGCCCCTGTGATCCTAACAATTTCTGGCCACTTCCTTACATAAGCCAGCCTTAGGGAGTGCCTGTCATGGTCTGAGGTCCATCTTTCTGTTGAGGTCACTTTCCAGCTCCATGCCCTTTGGGCTGGTTCGATCAATGAGCAAAACAATATGACCCAGAGACCCACCAGGTTCCTAAAAATGAGAAACCAATGTGTCAATATTCCCAAATTAATTTATCACTTCATTAATTCCATTCAAAATGCTAACAAAACTTTTTTGGTGCAAGCTCACAAATTTGGAAAAATAAGTAGCCAGGGAAAACCAAGAAACTTAAAGGGAAAAAAAAAGTAATAATTAGAGACTGGTGTTTCTTTGTTTTAACACTTATTACTAAATTCAAATGGCAAGTATATACAAGTTATAGGCAAATACATTAACAGAGCAGAATTAAGAATCTAGAAATGTAACTTATACAAAGAACTTGATATATGATAAAGGATGCACCTCAAATAAAACACGAAAGGATGGGTTACTTAACAAAAGGTTATGAGGAGCAATACAATGGACAAAAGATAGTCTTTTCAACAAACGGTGTTGGAACAACTGGCTGTCCACATGCAAAATAAATGAATCTAGACATAGACCCTACACCCTCCACAACTCAAAATGGATCATAGACTTAAATGTAGAATGCAAAACTATAAAATTCCTAGAAGATAACATAGAAGAAAATCTAGGTGACCGTGGGTATGGTGATAACTTTTTAGTGCAAACACCAAAGGCACAAACCAAGAAAGATCTAATTGATAAGTTGGACTTCACTAAAATTAAAAACTGCCCTGTGAAGACACTATCAAGAGAATGAAAAGACAAGCCACAGGGTGGAAGAAAATATTTGCAAAAGATGTATGTGATAAAGAATTGGTATCCAAAATATTCAAAGAATGCTCAAAACTCAACAGCAAGAAAATGAGCACCTCAATTTAAAAATGGGCTAAATATCCGAACAGACCCTTCATCAAAGAAGATACAAAAATGGCAAATAAGCATACAGAAAGATGCTCAACATCATATGTCATTAGGGAAATGCAAATTAAAACAACAATGAGATACCACTACACACCTATTAGAATGGCCAAAATCCAGAACACTCACTACACCAAATACTGGCGAGGATGTGGAGCAATGGGAACTCCCGTTCATTGCTGATGGGACTGAAAAGACTACAGTCATTTTGGAAGACAGTTTGGCGGTTTCTTACAAAACTAAACATACTCTTACCTTAAGATCCAGCAATTGCTCTCCTTGGTATTCACCCAAATGAGATGAACACTATGTCCACACAAAAACCTGTACGTGGATGTTTATAACAGCCTTATTCATATTGCCAAAACTTGGAAGTAACCAAGATGTCCTTCAGTAGGTGAATGGATAAATAAACTGGTACCTCAATACAATGAAATAATATTCAACACTAAAAGATATAAGCTATCAAGGCACGAAAAGATATGGAGGAAACAAATGCATATTACTAATGAAAGAAGCCAATATGAAAAAGCTACATACTATGAGATTTCAGCTATATGATTCCAATTGTCTGATGACATCTTGGAAAAGGCAAAACTGTGGAGATAGTAAAAAGATCAGTGTTTGCCGGGGATAGAGAGGTGGAGAGTGATGAATAGGTGGAACACAGAGGACACAAAAATATTCACCACAGCATTATTTGCAATACTGAAAATTTAGAAAAATATAAATGCCTAGCAATAGGGGAACCATTATTATTTTACAATCATTAAAAATATTTATGAATAGTTTTCCATAAAGGAAAATAGCTTTATGAGTCTGCTATAATGACAAAACTAATATGTGTTCATTGTGATTCCAAACAACATAAAAAGTGCAAAGAAAAAAAAAATGACAATTACCGCAAGTCCCACTATCAAGAGGCAATCACTGTCAGAATTCCAACAAATTATCTTCCAGACATCCTTCTGGGCATATGATTTTATGAAATGGAATCGTGATATCCATTTTTTTCAAACTGCTTACTCCACTGAGTCTCTAATATACATTTTTACATAACGATAAATAAAGACATATTTTTTGGCTTTTATTTATAACGGCCATATTGTGTTCCAGAGCCTGGCTACCCTACTATTTAGATGACTAATTTCCTACTGACAGACATTTAAATTTTTCCTACATTATTGCTATTACAATCATCACAAGAAGCATACTCATGCAGTCATCCTTGCACGCTCATCCTATTATCTTCTTAGGGTACAATCAGCAACTGGACTCCCTGGTTCAAAGAATATGCCTGCTTTAATGGTGGCACATACTGTCAAGCTGACCTCCAGAGAGTCTGAACCAATTACACCCCCAGCAAGAGTTTCTGAGAGTCCATTGCCCCACCCCCTGACCATCACTTGATACTATCCATCTTTGTAATCACCATCAATGCCACCAAACATGGACTGTCTTTATTGTTTTAATTGGTATTCCTTTAACGATGAATGAGAATGAACACATTTCCACATATTTATTTTTCATTTGCTTTTCATCTTTTGTGAACTGCTCTTTATATCTTTTGCTCACTTTTTAAAGTGAGCAAACCCTGTTTTTTTTTAAATTAATTTGTAAATGTCTCTTGTATATTAGAGATATTAATTCAGTGTCATATATGTTGCAAATATATTTCCTAGTTTGTCATTTGTATTTCAATTTTATTATTCTTAACATGCAAAATGGTTTTTTTTAATTGTATATATTTGAATCTATAAAATACTCCTTTATAGTTTCCCTTTGGTATCATAAATTCTGCACTTCAGGGCTATAAAAATATTTACCCATATTTTAGTATCTTATGGTTCATTTTTAATATTTGAATTTTTTATTATTTACAATTTATTTTGGTATAAAAAATGGGGTAAGATCAAGCTTCATGATTTTCCTATTAGATAGTTGTCTCAGATTTGAAATTCCACCTTTATCATATATACATATATAAATTCTGATATATATTTATAGACACACACTGTGTTCGTCTGCTAGGGCTGCGGTAACAATGCACCACCGACTGGCTGGCTTAAACAACAGACATTTGTTTGCTCACAGTTCTGAAGCTAGAAGTCCAAGATCAAGTTGTTGACAGGGTTGGTTCCGTCTGAGGCCTCTCTCCTTGGTTTTTAGATGGCTGTCTTCTCCCTGCATATTCACTTGGGCTTACCTCTGTGCGTGTCTGTGTCCTAATCTCCTCTTCTTATAAGGACACCAATCATATTGTATTAAAGCCAAACCTAACGATCTCATTTAATTTAAATACCTCCTTAAAGACCCCATCTCCAAATACAGTTAAATTCTGAGGTACTGTGGGTTAGAATTTCGACATGTGGATTTTAGAGGGACACAATTCAACCCATAACACACACATACACACTCGCTCAATTGGGTCTGCACTATCGTGTTGCACTGATCCATCTGCTCCTCCATTAGTATCACACACACTTAGGCTATTTTCATATTGCTCCCCTCCCCCTCTGAGTTTCAGAATCCACTTGGAATCCCTTTGGGATTTTTATTGAGATCGCATAGGATTTACAGATTGGTTTGAAAATGTGCATCTTTTTAACATTGAGTCTTCCCATCTCTTATGGGTTGAATTGTGTCCCCTTCCAAAAGATATGCTGAAGTCCTAACCCCCAGCACCTGTGAATATGACCTTATTTGGAAATAATGTCTTTGCAGATGTAGTCAAGTTAAGAGGAGGTCATTAGGATGGGCAGTAATCCAACGTGACTGGTGTCCTTATAAGAAGAGGAGCAGAGACTTACAGACAGAAGCACAAGAAAAACACTATGTGATGACAGAGGCAGAGTTTGGGATGATGTGTCCACAAGCCAGATCCTCTCCTAGAGCCTTCTGAGATTCTGCTGACACTTTGATTTCAGAATTCTGGCCTCCAGAACTGTGAGAGCAAATTTCTCAGGCACTCAGTTTGTGGTAATTTGTTATGGCAGCCAGGGAAACGAATACACCACCCAGTAGCAAGATTTTTGTTCTCATGTATTTGAACCGTGTTATGAGAGTCTCTCAGGAGAGTTTCATAAAGATTCTACTCTGTTTTGTTTTTTGTTTTGTTTACATGTATTCTTAGGTATTTTTATTTCATTGATGCTATTGTGAGCATCAATATCTTTTCCATTATATTTTCTGATTGTTGCTGCTATATAAGAAACTATGCATGTTATGTATATTTATTTTATACCTGTACGTTATATTGAACTTTATTACTTTCAAAAGTTTTTAAACGATTCTCTTAGTAGGCAATCGCATCATCTTCAAAGGAAGACAATTTTGCCTTTTTCTCTCCAATATTTAGACATCTTGCTTAATTATCTTGTTCATTGTATTGACAAGAACTTTTTAACAAGGAGATCACAGCAACACTTGTCTTTCTCTGACTTTAACAGCATTGTGTTTAATTAAGCATAATTCTGTTGGTTTGAGGGTTTTTTTAATCACATTATGAATTTTCATATGGCTTCTCAGTATCAAAATAATCATATGGAATTTTCATATAAGATTGATTATATTAATAGATTTCCTAATATTTTATTATCTCTGCATTCCCAAATGAACTTCACCTGGTCACAGTACCTTTCTTAAAGTACAGTGCTGGAGTCTATTCCCAATATTTTATTTGATTTTCATCAATGTTTATAACTAAGATTGAAATGTGGGATATGTGTGTGCTCTCTGTGCACGATCATTTCCGTCTTGTGCAATTAAAGTTTGTGCTATGTTTTTTTTTTTTGGAAAATGCATGTGACGTAATGTATATTTAGTGTTTGTCTTTAAATGCAGGGCAAAAAAACAAAGGCCATCACAATGGTAACACTGGTTATCTAAGTGGTGGGATTACAGGGGTTTTTCCTTTTGTTTTCAATAATAATTGAGTATTATTTTTATTAAAATAATGTCTTAAATATTTGGCATTGAAAGAGATTGGCTGGAACTACGTGAGCAGTTATCTCTGGAAGGGGAGGTAAGACTTGATTTTCATCTTCTCCATCCTGCTGTGGTCAAGTTCTCCAGCATCAGCACCTCCTTCTTTCTGTCCATGCCCCCACCCTGCTGACCAAAAAAGACAAATATACACATTTACATAATTACTCTTTTAAATGCTACAAATTCAGGGCTCCTTGATTTATAATAAGCCAGTGCAAACAGATCTAAACTATTCTCAGGATAAAATGAAGAGGAAATTCTCTGGCTCTTCAGTGGGAGCAGGATGGAGAAGGCTGTCATCCGTGAACATGGCATTTTGGAAACTGGAGTCAGTTATAAGCTATGCCTCTGCTTATATGAAATCAGATGATTTATCTAAGTATCTCAGCAAAACTAGGAAGTTCTGCTCCTTTAGAAAGTTAGCATCTTAGCTTTAAAGGGACAAGAGGGATTTTAAGCAGCTTGCAACCTCACACGATGCACCTGCAGCCTCACAAGATGGCCAGTACATGGATATTGGCATCTTTCTTCCAAAGATTCGTAAGCACTGCACCCACTTTGACTAACTTTCTTGAGCTGTTGGGGAAAAAAACTACTAGAGTCGTGAGTCTTAAGTAAAAGTCACATACTTCTTTTATCCGGATTACCAGGTTAGCCCTCGACTGATGACAAGGCAAGGCTTGAACCAGCAGGGCCTCTGGCTCCTGAGGACGTTGCGTCAGCCCACCACGGGCTGCACTGGCCACCAAAGGAGAAAAATCATTCAGTCAGCAGAGGAATTCGTTTTTCTTTCCATCCCTAAAGGATGGCCTAGCTTGTCCACGCTTTGCCGTCGGCCAAAGTGCAGACCATATAACACAATTGCTTAAATCCTGACCCTCAAAGCTGCCCTCGTCTCCCTCAATAAGCATTTGGATGCCAAGGATCTGGTTATTGAGCTGGGAAATCATAAAGCACATTCATCATCTGAAAAGTTGAAAATTCAGATTTTCCAAATCAGGGTCGCCATATAATTTCAAGTTGGCCAGACTAACGAAGATATTTTCAAAAATAACTTGTGCAGTGAGATCTGGTTTTACATTCTCTGCATCTTCCAATTGTTAAAAGTGATTTGAACTTTATTATGAAAAATATTTATTCATTCAACAGTTTTTCTTTAAGCATCCACCACTCTGGCATCCACTGAGTATCGCCAGACATGGGACTTGGCAATGGCAAAATAAAAAGATGAGGAGTTTCTCTTCCTAAAAAACTCAGTCTGGAAGAGAGACAGATTAAACAAACAAACAAACAAAACAATTACATTGAGATCAGGACCCATAGAAAGACAAGCACAAGGGCTCGATGAGAGCACAGAGGAAGGGTGCCTCCCGGCCCCCCAGGGGAGATGGAACTTGAGCTGAGAAGATACAGCAAGGCAGCCAGGCCAGGAAGATCCCATAAGGAGACCAGGGCCCACCTCCTTAGGAGACCTGCAACCATTGCATTTTCTCAATTCTAACGCACTGTGGATTGTAAGCTATGTCACGGATTTCTCAGTTCTTTAGGAAGAAAAAGTAAACTATATTTAAATTCAGGGCCTGGACTAGGGTGAGGTGAGTGAAGTTCCTAGGACACAAAATGTAAGGAGGTGCTCGCTCTCTGGCCACTCAGGCTTCTGCGACCACCCTGAGAGTAACCTCCTCCTTCATTTGTGTCCTAGGCACCTCACTCCCCTCACCTTAGTCCTGCTTAAATTGTTTTTCCAACTGTAAATAGCATACATTTATCAAAATACCAACACATCACTTTCTTCTTTAGCATCATAATCAACATTTAAGTATAAGCCTGCTTTGTATTCTACATCTGAAGAGCCTTAGGAATCATTTTGGCCATCAGCAGCTATGCAAAGAATCCACAATGCCATATTGCTTGCCGTAACCAGGACTTGTGACCTTGACCTCTGTGATACCTTTAAAATTAACAGTATAAGTTCAAAGCCCATGGAAGAATCCCAGGACTACCTACATTTTCTAGGTCTCCTTGAAGTTCCTTATTTCCTTTATGGGATCCCACATTATGCAAATTAGATGACTTCTCCTGAAAGTCAAACCAGAAGTTTGTGACAAATTGTCCATTACTTTAACTTTTCTGAATTTTGAAGATTCTGGGATCTATTCTGAGGGATTTGGCCATTTCTACTGCCTTTAATTCCATTCCCTGGAGTATGCAAGCCATCTGCTGAACTTTCATTTCAATGCCACATCATTGGGTGATTTTTCTGAAGACATTAAGTAATAATTAAGAATCTAAATTCAAGTTAAAATGTATTCCTGCAAGGTGCCATCTAAGCAAATCACTCTGTGAAATGCACGTCAGATAAAGCTCAGGCTGAGTTCTCACGTGCGCACAGGCCGAGACACTCATGGCAGTGGGTCTTCACCCTGGCTTGCAAGTTTCTTTCGACAGGATTAGAAGACACAGTGCAGGGGTTGGCAAACTAGGGCTGAATGCCTGCTTCTCTATGGTTCAGGAGCCAAGAATGGCTTTAACATTCATTAATGGTTGAAAAAAATTTTTTTGAAATACCTCATGATGTGTAAAAATTATATGAAACTTAAATTGCAGCATCTATAAAGAAAGTTCTATTGGAACACACACACACAAGATACAGGCCAATTTTAGAATACATAGTAAAATGTGAAAAAGATGTAATGTCTTTGGATAGAACTGATAAGGAAATAAGGAGTCTCCACTCTCTCCCCAGATGTTTGCACAGAAGGGATGAGGAGAGATGAGGTAGCAGCTGGAGAGGGATGAAGGCCAGGGAGGATTTTATTTGCTGATGCTTTTCTTAATTTTTTAAGAAAGGAGATGACTAAGGGCGTGTTTATGAGAGTCAGGACAGAGAGGAAGAGAGACAGAGAAGCAGAAATAGATTGGCTAAAGATTTAGGATGGAATTAGATAATTCACATAGTCTGGTCCTGGAAATCTAGTTTGCCTTTCAAGCTTTCAAAAACAAGCTTTTGGGGGCCGGCCCAGTGGCTGGATGAAGGAATCAAGGCCTTAACTAGGTCAAGGGCCTTTCAAGTTCACATGGTTGGTGGAACCAAGTCTTAGCCCCAGGCCAGTCCATGTCTCTCACCACTCGGTGACTGACCTCCCTAGATCTGGGTAATGAACACTGGGACAGAGAGCCTAAGGTTGACAGTGAGTATGGGAGTCAGGAGCCTCACTCTCCCAGTCAAAGCTCTGTTCGTACACCATGCCGCTTCCCTAGTAAAACCTACACCGCCAATTCTGAGATTTTCAGGCAGAGCTCTCAAACGCCTTCCCGTGAAAAGTTTCCCTTGGGTAAGTCAGATGATATCAAATATCCTTCCAGTACGGAAGTTGAACAATTCTAAGGAAATGTATAGGAACTCAGAATTTTAGTGCCGGGGACCGGCCCTGTGGCTGAGCTGTTAGGTTCTCGAGCTCCAATTCAGCGGTCCAGGGTTTCACCAGTTCTGATCCTGGGTGTGGACATGGCACCGCTCATCAAGCCATGCTGAGGCGGCATCCCACATGCCACAACTAGAAGGACCACAACTAAAAATATGCAACTATGTACCGGAGGGCTTTGGGGAGAAAAAGGAAAAATAAAATATTTTTAAAAAAAAAGAATTTTAGTGCCAGAGGGTATCTCCCTCTTGTAATAAAGGAAAAACTGAGACAGAATGCGACCCCATGACTTGCTCAGGTTGGCGAATCTATTAAGAACATCTCCAAGAGGCCAAACAAGCAAAGAGACACTGGGATGGACCTGAGCATATCCATGGGAGCAGCATAGGCCACTGCTAGGGCTAGTAAGCCCCTGGAGTGTGACCCCAAAAGAAGGCTGCAGCAGGGTAGCGGTGCTTTGGCTTCACCCTCAAAGGAAGGTCCCTTCTGTCCCCTCTGGCTGACTGGTGCGGGGTTGCGGCCTGAGTCACACGGAGGGGGCTCAGCTGCCCAGGGTTCCCACTTCCTCCTCCCCACAGCAGAGGCCATCTGCCAAGAGGATGTGTCCATAAATGCCTCCACCTACAACTTGCAGGGAACCCGGAAGCACATGTTCTGGAATGACTCACCAAAGCTGGAGTGAGCATTTCTTCCTCAGCACTCTGATGGGGGGTACAATGGCACCAACATGAAACACACTAAGTCAGAATGAAAGAGATGAAGCAATTCGACAGTGACAGGTCTCGTGATAACTGCAACTCAAAAATAAAACAAGTCCCTACTCTCAGGGTGTCTGATGCTCCAGCTGACTGTAGTGACTGCTTTGCAAAAGGAAGCTGGCTCAAGCCATGAAAGAGCACATGGAACTCCAGCAAGGCTTTGCAACCAGGGGCAGGAGATGCGACTTCACCACGTGGTTGTGGCATGAGGATCTACATCTGCAGTATTTTCCTCTGTCCCTTTTTCTCTCTAGGCAGGGATCAGGGGGTAAGTGGGACTATATAGGGGTCACCAAGGCAGCAACAGAAGAGGAAGAAACAACAGAAGGAAGAATGGGTTCCAGCCCAGACTCTTTCTGGTTTTACTCCTCATCCTTTGAGTGCTGCGTAGGTCAGTATATTTACTCCAGCAACAAGCCTACAATTGCCCTGGGTAAATACAGGGAGCCTAAGCTGCTGCAGAAACACATCTCAAGCTTCTAGAAAAAGAATAAGCAGCTTGAATTTGTTTCAGGCAGTAAACCTACAGGAGAGGAACACTTCACACGCAGCCCTCCCACACTTAACCACCAAGTGCTATGGCAGGACTCAGTCAGGTTAAGGATCCACTCAACTCTGGCTACATCTAAGCTTAACTGAGGAGCTGCTCATAAATTCTGATGCCCAGCTCACCAAACAATTAAATCAGAATCTCCAGGGTAAAGACTGGGCATTGGTTATTTTTACAGAACGACCCCCTCCCTGCCCTTACCCCCAGAGTACAGCGAGGGTTGAGAACCACTGGCCTAAGGGCTGGGAGAGAGAAGCCTCAGCAACTCGAGTGCCCATAGCAGCCATTAGAATGTTCAGACACAAAACATAAATCAGCATCTCCAAGCTACAGACCCCAACGTATGAAATCGTGTTCCAGGGATATGATCAGTTTCACATTGCTTTCCTCTCCACCGGACCATTTAGGCTGCTCCAATAGGGGATGTGCGGTGTTACTGTGGACATCTGTTGCTTTTGGAAACAAACATCTCCAAGTTTCTTTGGGAGCAGTCCCACTGGGACTGTCTGTCAAGATCCCTACCTCCTAGCTAAGGGAGGCACCGATGACCCAAACTAAGCCAATCTAGCTCTGGTTCCCAGAAATCTGATTCTTGGGTGGAGTAACACAGGAGCAGAAAATGGTTGGAGCTGACTTACGTTGGTATCAGCACATGAATAACAGGAGTCCTGGAGCTGTCCTGCCACCTAAGACCTGGCTATTTCTTCAAGTCTGTGAGCTGCCCCAGGATCCAACAAGTCCCTTTTTGCTTTAATTGGCCAGAATTGGTTTCTATTGTTTGCAATCAAAGAAGTCTAATTGGTGACTTTATTGAGCAGAGTAGGTCAGGCTATGCTCTGGTAATGCTGCATGCCATCACAGTCCACTGGAGCTCTGCTCTTTGTCACCCATTGCCAGGTCCTAGGCTGATGGAGCAGTCATCCCTGGAATATTGCCAGGCACTATGGCAGAGGGAAAAGAGCACCTCTGAGGGTCTCACACTGTCCATTAAATGCTCTGGCCCTGGGTGGCACATGCCAGTGCTCACAGTTCATTGGCCAAAACCAACCAGAATTCCCACAGCCACACATTCATGGTTAAATGAGCCAGTTGATTAGGCACCATAACTTCAGCCGAAAGTGGTGGGGTTTTTTTCCCCCGTCCTGTAAATCAGATGTCCAATTTGCCTAAATGAAAGAGAGAGGGCGAGGTGTATTCCACCAGGGTTTTATTCTGCCAGCTGAACGCAGATCAACACCAGACCTTCCAGAACACTGTACAGGCCAGCCTCTCTCTTTAAACGTCTCTAGAAACCATTCGACTTACTCTCCAAGAGAATTGCTTACTAATTTCTAATCATTTTTAAAAATGAGGTGATAATGCATTTCTTGACAAGTACAATACTTGACAATAGACATTAAGATGGATAAATTTTGAAAAAATGAAGATTTCCTCTTTACCTCTTGCTTGTAAAATGTTTTTCTCCCTCTTTTAGTAAATCAATAGATAAAGATTATCAGGAGACTCTCTGGGACCTTGTTCTTGAGTCATTTTCACAGGTTCAAATTCTACTTCTGTTAGTTTTTAAGATGTCTGGTCATTTGGAGAGAAGAAATTATATTATCATTCTGAACTAAAATGTCATGACCTTGCAAAGAAGAAATTAGCATTGAATGCTAACCATCCAGACACAGGGCCATGTACTGTTGTCACCTTGTCCCCTCTTTAATTTGGGCAGAGCACAATATGAAAGTTAATGCTTAGCCAAATCTTCCTGCCTGGTTCTCCAAGCTCGACTCTGTAGGTGGGCTGGCAGGAGGAGTGGTGCTGGGGCCACCCAGCCCAGTGGAGGGAAGAGTAACTGGAGGGGGGAGCTCCCACCCCAGCACCAAACGTTGATTCTGTGCTCTCACACAGAACGAAGAGGGCTGGTGGGGATCTCGTTAATCATTCACTACTCCCACTTGGAACTCGGTCTGAACGGACTCTGGTGTTATTATTTGTGGTGGATTCTGCCCACATCCCTTCAGGGTAAACACTGGCATCTCTGAAACTGGCTTTGTCTCCTGCCCCATTGTTGGATTCAGGCTGCATTTTTGCATTTGGAGGCCCTTAAAGAACTTCAGAAGGTAAAAGAAAAGAAAAGGGGCAGTCAGACAGGACACACTGGTTGTACTATTCTTACCAGTCCATCCAATTCCAAGGAGTTCCTGTATCTTGAATAGATAATGACAGGCTAATGCGCAGCTGGGCCCCATTGACCTGTTACCTTATCTTAACATGCCAGATAAAGGGAGCCCTCAGGAGGGCTCATGGAACACAGGGATGGCCTCTTTAAGGAACACTTTATACTTGCAAGTTTTATAGTTAAAAAAATCAGAAGCCAATTTAGGTTCATTGATTGTAACAAACGTACCATTCTGGTGCCAACGTTGATGGTGAGGAGGCTGTGCAGGGGGATGTATGGGAACTCTCTGAACTTTCCACTCAGTGTTTCTGTGACCCTAAAACACTTAAAAAATAAAGCCCATTAAAGACTAAAAAAAATAAAAAGCTATGAGGAGATCTCCCTATTCAAAAGTTTTCATAATACTTTGGGGATGAAATGAAAACTAACAGTAAAAATATTCTTTACACTTAGGCAGCAGCTATTGGCATGTAATTTAAAATACAAGTATTATATTAAAAACTAAAAATCTTCGCACTTGCCATTAATTAGACACTTGCTGTACCCTGGACTAAGCACTTTAATTATCTCATGGACTTCTTAAAAACAACTCTATCAGGAAAATGCTATTATTATCCTTATTTCACAGAAGAGGAAACATGCTTAAGCAGGTTAAGAAAATTGAGTCCAGTCACGCAGCCAACATGCCACTGACTGGGAGACTAGCTGTGGGGACCTGGATTTGGCCACCCTAAGATATGTCTCTTTGGCATGATGATTATTTGAGGCTAGTTACTTTGCAGACAGGAAAGCAACTGAAAAGTAGAATTTACTTACCCTTTGTAAGAGACATTTACATTGTAAAGGAATTCTGAATCTGTAGAAATATCTCCCTCTGTACCAGGAAGAAGGGGAGATGACCTTGTCTCTAGAAACTCTTAATCAATGAGGAAGGCAAGGACTTCAATCTGCATTTGTTTATTGTGCTTGTCTCTTAACCTCCTGTAACTGACTTCCCTCCCCCTCCCAATATTGGCATTCCTTAAGGATTAAGCATCTTTCCTTAGGCTAGGAACTGATTGCTGTGCTCACCTGTGACCACCCAGCTCCAGACAATAGACTTGCCTCCTTCTATGCCCTCCGAGATAGCAGACCCACTACCTGCTGTGTCCATTAAGCGCTGTGCCGACAGGGCAATCTTGTGACTATTGTGGGAGGGACATTTCAATCATATGTGAAACACCCTGTTTGGGGGTATATAACCACCATGTGCACCCCACTTCTTCAGTGCCCCTTCTTCCTTCGGGAAGAAAGGCCCCGGGCCATGGTCCTCATAAAGCTTTGTTTAATTTTCTCTTGCTATTCTGTCTCACGTGAATTTAATTCGTTCTCCAGCCAGATGAACCCACATTAGGTAGAGGGAAAGTCTTCCTCCCCTACACTAGCATTAACTCAAGAGAGGAAAAATTAAAGGAGAAGGGAAGTCATCAAATATTTTTTTCCCTAGAACAAAATAAACACTTAAAATTTTTTTAATTAAAAACAAGAAAAACAGCACTTACCCGTCCCTCCAAAGGGTAACAAGCTGTAGTTGACAAGCTCGGAGGAGAGGAGAGATACGGACTGAATGGAGGGATGTAGACACTGGTGATCATGTTCTTAGCAAGACACAGCTGAGCGGGATGGGGAGGTTAAATTAAAGAATTCCGCCAGAAAAAAAAAAAAACAGAAGCTAAGTTTGGAGAAAGAAGGTAAATGGGGGGAAAGGGAGGACAGAAGAGAAGAGAGAAAGAAATATGTTAGTGGGATGGGACAATCTCATTTATGTGACTTTCATACTGGAACTAATTGGTTTCAACAAATTGATAGTCTACAGTGGCATCAACTGTGCAAATATGCTTTTAAATTGCTTAAATTTAATTAGATGATTAAATTAAAAACCTAAGTAGATTTTAGTTTTGGTTTAGTGTAGATGCTGTTGCCCACCCTCCCACCTTCCCTTAGAGCTTAAGCTGCTGTCCTACTGTCCCCTCAGTCAGTCTCGGACCCCAGGGCCTCTCACAGGGTGAGCCTCTCACTGCTCAGTGCTTAGAGATGTGTGTTTGGGCTACAGCACAGCTCCAAACGCAAGCCAGCAGCTTCGTCTGGTGCTTAAATGAAGAAAAAGCCCACCTTTCCATGCTGGAGGAAATGCGAGCCGTGTTTGTCTCACTAAGACATATGCAGGTCTGCTCCTGAAGGATTTTCAGAAGGGGCCTTACCTTTGCTGGATTTTTGCCCCATGTGCTATTGTAGAATGTAACCCCCGTGTACAGAAGTACACGTGGGGCAGCTGTCTTTCCACTCCCCACCCAACTGTACCCAAACACTAGAACCATCTGGGACTGTGAGATGGGCCATTAGGGAAAGCCGTCCTGCTCTCTGTTCTCTTCATTAGAATTTTCATCTTAAAGGACAGCCCTTTATTTCAGCGTTCTGTATCAAAATTACACCGGTGCCTCAATCATGCCAATTAGCAAATGCCGAGTAACTAAAAAATGAGGAAATTTGGGTTCTTGGCAGGCCTTTGTCTCACTGCCTCTGCATGACCTCAGGCAAGTCACCACCCTGGATCTCAGATTCCTCACGTGGACAGATAGATGAGGGTTAGATGACCGAAAGGCCCTCCAGCCTCAAACTTCTACTATTGTGTTCACCTACTCCCTCACAACAGGCGAGGCTGGAGGTAACAAGAACTCTACGTCTCAAGTTCCAACCAAGGTATGAACCTTGACTATGCCACCCAAGACTCACGCATAAGAACACGCACACTTGCATGCATACCCACATATACACAGCCTCTACCCCATATACCATCCACAGGCTAAGGGAGTTGTATCACAGAATAAAAAAATAGTCTCTATTACTGGACTCGACTCAGTGAGAACATCTTGAGACAGACTGACGATCAGCAAAATGATCTGTCCTTTATCTGAAATGGGACTGACCTTCCCAACCTATATAGACGCCTGTTGTTGTTATTGCAAAAGAGCAAAAGGAATAAGAGTGATGAGTTGATAGTTCATTGTTGAGCAGTCATGGGGAAACCAGAATAAATTCAGAATGTTTAAACAACCCAACTGTTGACAGCTCTGAGAATGTCACATCTAATAATCACAGTGTGAATCCATCAATCTCTGTAGCACTTCAGAGCCCCAATTCTACCTTGGGTCCCTACTTAGGTTTTTATTTCAGTTACCTTTTATTTCTCTAGTCTATCTTTGTATTTCTGAATTACTTATTCCTGGGATTTTTAATTAAAGAAGTCAAGGCATGAATAAATTTATAAGCATAACAACATCTCATTTAAGGAGTGTCAGGTGGTGAGGTCACTGCGCATCACTGATGTGCATATATTTGGTTTCTAAGTGAGCTCAGGGTTTTAGATTAAATTACAAAAGATTTATTAGAGTTGATACCACAAACAGCAACTACCTCTATTTGTTCACTTTAGGTCCAAAAAAAATCAAAATGTACAAAAAGATCTGTTCTTTAGTGGCTATATTAGTATTTAGAGTTCCTTTGGGGGGCGGGGCACAGTGCAGCGAGGGTCAGAGCCTTAACATTCTGAAGTCTCCCTCTCCCTGTCTCGTCTGCATTCAGCCCACTTCCCTCACTGGTATTACGTGACTGATGGTGGCACATCCCCACTTAAAGTCCTAACTCTTGAGCAGGTGCTGCAAGGTCCCTCACTGTCTGGCCCCACCTGACACTCAGTCTCTCTTCCAGAAACACTGCATTCCAGCCACACTGAACTACTTGATTATTGGTGTCTGGTGGCATGAGACATCCTCTTCTCTGTGCCTCTGACCATGACCCTCCCTCTGTGGAAAATCTTCCCTTCCCAGTCCAAGGAAGCCTGCCCCCTCCAGAAAGACCTGGGCCCTCCTCCCCATCTCATCTACTAGAGGACTTCTGGACTCATTCCTTTGGAACACTGGCAGCCAGCCAATCCCTCCAAGCACCAGATTCCTATTATCTTCGGCCAGTGGCCAAAATGGGAGCCCCTCTAGTTGTCTCTGCCTACATTCTAACCCCTAAAGGGATCTGAACTTCCTTGCTATGACCAACCTCCTACTGCTCCCTTCTCTCTGTAGCCTTTGCTGGAGCCCTCTAGAACATTCCATGGCAAAATCTCTCTCATCCACAATCATGTCACTAATGAGTCCTTCCCTCCACCTCCTCAGGTTAAATGAATCCCAGCTCATCCCTGCAAGGATGCTGCTTCTTCCCCATGGCCTTCCCAAGGAGATGCCAGTCATTCTCCCTCACCTCACAGACTGTACCCAGGAGGTGGGAGAAGAACCCCAATGTCAGTTCCAGAAGACAATTCCTCTGCCCATTCAGGCTGATGCTAAACTGGACTTTATACTGTACTCTGTCGGTGTCAAATGTGAACCCCCAGTCATTCTTCCTTCTCATTTAAGGAGCCTTTGGCACCTTGCTCAATCTTTCTTTCCACCCCAAGCCCTGCCATTATCCTGAGTAGCTTTAAGATCTTAGTTCTTTGATCTTAAAGGAGTGTCCCCTCAACGCCACTTAAGCCACCCTTCCCTTGAACACCCCGTGGACCTTCTCATCACTCAGAATTGCTCTACCTATGAAATCTTAAATCTAATAGCTTACTCTGATCACAAGCTACCATTTTTCATCCCAATTACTGTCACCACATCTGTATTTTCTTTCAGCGAGACCTTCAGTATCTGGACTCATCTGCTTTCTCCTTCTCTATCAACTCCCTCATGTTTTTACTTCCTTCCCTATCAAACCCAGACTCCATGACACATGATGTCAGTCACTGCCTTACACATATCCTCAACTCCACTGCCAAGTTCATTGTCTTTCCATTGCACTCACCTGGCAAAACTCCCCAAATCTGGATAACTCCAGGCCACTTCCACCTGCCCCCTGCCTCCACTCTGGCTTCTAAATCCAGGCTTTAAAGGGAACCTGTAGAAATGTCCCTCGACCCTGTGGTTAGGCCACTACAAGTTCATGGTCTCCAACTGCAACTGGACCTCCAGGCAGTCCAGCAATCCTTCTAGGTTCTCTGCCAGTCTCCACAACAGCCAATTCAAGTTTTTTCCATTTCTCAAGCCTCCTACCCCACTGCTTCTCCCCACACTCTACCCCTTCAGAAGAATATCTCACCCCTAACTCCACAAGAAAAGAAAAGCCACTGGAAGGGAGCTGGCCAGGCCACCTACAAACTCATCTGCATCTACACTGTGGCTTGCCTCCTCCCTCCAGGCACAATGGAAGCACGGTCCTTCTCCCATGTTCCCACCTTTCCTGCTTTCTTGGCTCAAAGATCCATCAGTTATCCCCAATCTCAACCCTTCTCTCTCCATTGGCTCCTTCCCATCAGCTCTTAAACTGGTTTGATTAGCTCCCATGTTATAGCAAAAACAGAACTCTCACCTCCAAGCCCCTCTCTGGCTAGTACTTTTTCTTCCTAACCAAACCTGATGCAAGGATTATTCACATCTGCACTCTCCATGCCCTCTCCCCGTCCTCTCCCCTCCTTCCATGCTGCCTCAAACTTTAGACCCAAACACTCTATAAGGAGCTCTGAGCCAAGTGATCCACAACCCCCTTCTTTACTCCAACAGACACTTCTAACATTGCCCCTCTTGACTGCTCACTCTCCTGTCCACAAATGCTCTCCTCCTTTGGCTTCGGGAACGCTTGAATTTCCCTCCTCAAAATCTCCTTTCAGAGATGTCTTTTGCCTTTCCCTTAAGCATCAGTGCTCTTGAGTGCCTCTGTTGGATTCTTCCCACTCTCCCTTGATAATCTGATGTACTCTGCTTGGATATTTCTGGCATTTAATTTATTTCTCTACATAAGATGCCAAGTTATTTGCTTTGCAATTTCTTTTCCCAAGGAGACTATATAATCTCTGTATTTAACTTTTGGAACCAGAGAATTATCTTGACACAAATATAGGCTTAAAATACTGCCAAAAGAACAAAATGAAATTTGCTCTTGATGCACGTGTATAGCATTTTCACAAGGAGATCATTTCAAATTCATGATAGCCACAAAATTCATGATAGTTTTGACCGGTTACTGTGTGTCAAGCACCAGTGTAAGAGTTTTGTGAACTCTTATTGAACCTACTCAACGATTCTTCAAGATAAGTATTATTGACCCCAACTTTCAAATGAAGAAACTGAGACTCACAGAGATTATATGACCTATGTAACTGACAAGGTCATGATGCTGGCCAATAACAGGGCTGGAGTGTAATCCTGGTGCTGATGAAACTAAAGCCTGTCTCCTTTCCACCTATATTGCTTCTCCAATGTGGGAATTTCTGTACCTGTCCAGTTCAATGATATGGGCTTTTTAAGAACACTAACTGAGAATACTTATGACGTGTAAACAATATGCAACGTTATAATCGGCAACTAAAGCACGAGAGGTTTTCCCCAGAACTGACTTTACGGATGACATCCCTCAAAGAGATTACTTCACGCCTGTGCCATATATTTTTTTAATATTATGAAATTTCCTTTATTGAAATATACTATATCCAGATTTTGTTTATAAAGCTTTACTGTAAGGGAATCTTATTAAAAAGTCGGTTCTCAATTTTCTTTTGTGCCATTGGAAACAATAGTGAGACCAAGTTTTAAAGCTACTATTTTTCAAACTCTGATCACCATAATGTTCTGTGAAAAACT